GAACGTGAACGTGAAATAAACCCAGATCAGTAACAAGCAGAGAGAGGAGAGCCTGGGGGAACACGATTGAAAGGCGAGTGTGACAACATGTCATCGAGATGAAGCAACGAGCGACAGCTTTCACGCTGCATCGCTGTTCAGATATAAAAGAAGCAAATCCGGATTATTTCGTTCGCTGGAGCTTCACAGCAAACTGGAGATGATCGAGGATGCAGGCTCACGAGAAAAATGAAACGGAAATATTCACAGAGTGAAGCTGCTGTTCTTCACTCTTACTTCGCTTCACCTGCAGATGGAAACGTCCGAGAACCGCTGTGAGGGCGTTAATGTGATTTTAGGGTCAGTTATGATTTTGGCTTCCAAAGAAATTCAAGATAAACCCTCCAAAGGTTTGGTGATGTCACGTGTACGTAAAGTGCATCCTGACACATTTTGGTTCGAGCTCGCGGTTATTAATGAGACAGACTGAGACGCACAGCTTCTCCTACAGTCACATAAACTCACTGACAATTAAAAAAGGTACATATCATTACTATCATACACTAAATGTTAACGTGGACCTATTCTTCTTCTCTTTAGTTTCTGTCGTATGTTTCCATGTTTATATTACAAAAATAAACCGAGACACTCAAACGTCACGTAGAAGGACCCTGATGATGCGTTCAGGTGCTTTCCCCAGACTGTTCGCTCTTTGGCTGCTTTCTCTCCTTCACTTCATTCGCGACACACACATAAACACACTCATTCAGACTGGACTTTCTCAGCTGGCATTCGGACTACAGTTAAAGTGGGTTCAGAGAAGCTGTGTGTGTGTGCTCGTTTTAATGGTGTGTGTGGGGTTGTGTTAACAGTCCGTCTGCAGCTCTCAGACCTGAATGTGCATCAGAACTTGTTGACGATGAGCCTGGAAGTCTTCAGGCACCGTGTCTGGAATAAAGAAGGAAATGAGCAGAAAGTTCATCAGTTGTCAGAGTCAGCAGGTTGTACTTCCTGCAGATACCGACTGAAAAGTGGACACAAGTCTTTAAGCCCTGATCTTATTGGGATTTTCTTTAGTTCTGCAGACGTGAGAGGTAAAATGAATATGAAGGACGATGGGTTATTAAATATTAATGCATGTGAGCTTCTAATTGTGCAACAACATAATTTTGGGCCTTTCCTCTGAGTATTTCATTTCAGGAACAAACACCAGCTCCGCCATCTTGGACTGCAGGGGGCTCTGCAGACTCTGAGCTCAGCAGAGCAGAACTGGACTGCACATGGTTCAGGTTCTGGTTAGAGCGGGTCAGCGTGGATCTCCAGTGCTGCCCCTCAGCCTGCTTGTAGATGAAACTATGGCATCAATTTGAAAATCTTAAAGACATCTTTATGGAGTTATCAGTGTGTTCACAAACCTTTCAGAAAAGTAGATGCACGGTAACAATTTGAAAATCCTACGTTGACTCGTTCTCCAGTATTTACCAACTAGGATGTGCACCCTTTCTGTAGATGCAAGGAGTGCTGACAGTATTCAATCAGCCTTTTACGGCCGAGGGGTAAAAATGATAGCAGGAGGATTGTTT